ACAATTATATCCTCAAATAATTTTTCTATTCTAGGAGGGGCAAGCCCAAAAGATCAGGAACTGATATCCCCTCCCAGCACCATCTCACAGAGCAGGAGTTTTACTCAGGTAAAAGCAGGTGCCTGCTTTCAGCTCTGGTGCAGTGGTTCAAGGGTTCTTCCCAAGAAGAAAGGCAGGACACGAGGATGAGGAATGCCGCAGCTCTGACTGAAGGGACTGAAATAATTTGGAAAAGGTAGTAGAAAATTCCATGCATTTTGACAGGCATTGTCAAAAAAACAATGGAGATCTTGGTGGAGAGGCTAGTACCACCAATATAAGAAAAATGTCAGGACATTCACAAGTTTCCTAGAAAGAACCAGGGAAAGAGATAACCAATAAAAGCCCTCTTGATATCACATAAAATTGTGGGGATCAGGAAGACTGTGTGTATATGCTAGGCTGCATACTCTTAGGAAAATTAGAGAAAGACATGGAACAAGCTTGAAAGGATTCCCCAAGCCACCCAGAGACCCATAAACACAGGGCAAAAGCCTCACTGGCCAAAGAGCTTAAACACAACCTCTGACCAATCACTGACTAAATCATAAGCTACTCTGACCCAGGGACAAATCCTAGAAAGCCAAGACTAAAAATAAAGTCACAGTCATCCTTGGCAGTCTGAAAGAATGTGTGAGTGTCCAAGGTTATATCCTTTCAGGAAAGATCAGAGAAGAAACCTCCAACCTACTAGTCCCTGGCTGAATGGGAGAGAGGCAAAATATGTAAACTCACTGAAATGTGAAAACAGCTACACACCTATCTAATGATAAAGGGTAAATATCTAACTGACTGAGGGAACTTAAGCACAACCTTTGACCAATAAATGACATGCTAACCCAAAGGCAAAACCTAAGTAGCCAGGCTAAAAGATAAAAACAAGGGGAAAAGATCTGAGCTGGGACATCAGAGATGCACACTATAAGTGTGGAGGGAGGGGAATAAACTTCCCAGAATTAGTTCCACCAAGTCAACAAACAAATAAACAAATGACCACTGAGAGGAGCATCAGTATCCCGGGTTGCTATATTACCTAAATATCCAGCTCTCAACAAAGGATTAAAATACATACAACAACTTATAGGAAACATGAAAGACAGTATAAGTGTATTCTGTTGTAACTTTATTTTTTTCTATTTGATTTAAAAGACAACTTCATAAAGCAACATCTATGTTGATGTACATACAGTGTATAAAGATGTAATTTGTATGATAATAACAATGCAAAGGAGTGGGTAGGGAATGGAGCTATTAGGAGCAAAGATTTGAAATTAAATTGGTATTGATCTAAACTCGATTTTTATAAGTTAAGTTGTTCACTGTAATTCCCAGGACAACTACCAAGAGAATATATTCTAAAATATAGTAAAAGAAATGACAAGGGAATGAAAATGGTACACTAGAAAATGTCTACTTGACATAAAAGAAGGCAACAGTGAAGGAATAGGGGAACAAAAAGGACATAAGTCATATAGAAAACAAATAGCAACGTGAAATAAGTCAATCAGAGAAAGAAAATTATCATATGATCTCACTCATATGTGAAATTTAAGAAACAAAACAGAGGATCATAGCGGAAGGGAGGGAAAAATAAAAGAAGATGAAATCAGAGAGGGAGACAAACCATAAGAGACTCTTAATCACAGGAAACCGAGGGTTGCTGGAGGGGAGGGGGGTGGGAGGATGAGGTGACTGGGTGATGGACATTAAGGAGGGCAAGTGATGTAATGAGCACTGGGTGTTATATAAGACTGAAGAATCCCTGAACTCTACCCCTGAAGTTAATAATGCACGATATGTTAATTCATTGAATTTAAATTAATTGATTAAGAATAAAATGTTAATGTGAAAGAAAACAAATAGCAAAATGGCAGATTTAAATTCTGCTTTATCAGTGATTGCATTAAATATAAATGTATTAAACACTCCTATTTATTTATTTAGATTTTATTTTATTTTATTTATTTATTTGACAGAGAGAGACACAGTGAGAGAGGGAACACAAGCAGGGGGAGTGGGAGAGGGAGAAGCAGGCTTTCTGCCGAGCAGGGAGCCCAATGCGGGGCTCGATCCCAGGACCCTGGGATCATGACCTGAGCCGAAGGCAGACACTTAACGACTGAGCCACCTAGGCGCCCTTAGATTTTATTTTCAAGTAATCTCTACACCCAATGTGGGGTTCGAACTTACAACCCCAAGATCAAGAGTCACATGTTCCACTGACTGAGCCAGCCAAGCACCCCTTAAACACTCCATTTTAAAAGCAGAGATTGCAAAAAAATAAAAAATAAAACATAAAAGCAGAGATTGCAGAATGGATTTTTAAAATATGATCTATCCTACCTATCAAAGACATTCAGAATCAAAGACACAAATAGGTTGACAATCAAAAGACAAAAAAAAGTTTTACCATGCAACAATAACCAAAAGGGACCTGGAATGGTTATATTTATATGAGAAATATTAGGCCTTAAGACACACATTGTTATTAGAGACTAAGAAGGGCCATTTATAATGATGAAAATGTCAATCTATAAAGAAGATATAACAATTATAAACGTATATGGACCTAAAGACAAAGACCCAAAATACATGAAGCAAAAACAGAATTGAAGGGAAATAAAAATATATACAAGGAATAACGATAATATATAATATATGCTAATTTCTAAGTACTACTGAGTGCTGAATCATTTAATTATCACAGCAATCCTATAAAATAGATATTGCTGGGGCGCCTGGGTGGCTCAGTCAGTTGGGCGTCTGCCTTTGGCTCAGGTCATGATCCTAGGGTCCTGGAATTGAGTCCGCATTGGGTTCCCTGCTTAGCGGCAAGTCTGCTTCTCCCTCTGCCCTTCCTCCACTCGTTCTCTCTCTCTCTCTCTGGCATAAATAAATAAATAAATAATCTTTTAATAAATAAATAAAATAGATATTGTTATTTTCATCCTAAATGTAGGGAAAGTGAGGCAGAGAGAGATTAAGAGATTTGCCTAAGATCACACAGCTATTAAGTGACAAAACCAGAATTTGAAGCAAAGCTGTCCAGTGGCTTCTGTGCTCTTAATTACCCCTTCTCATGGTTCAGCTTTGAGTAATATTTACATAGACATACTATGAACACTTAATATTGATTCAATAAAGTACAGAGAAATAACAACAATATATTAAGAGAATGTAGGAGAAGTGTGGTTATATATGGAGTGGGAGGTATAAGATAACTGAATCCTTTCATTGTAGGAAGTCATAACTGATGTATAAATATTAAAAATTAAGAAATAAAAGTATAAATAGGTTATTTAGAAATATGGAGGTGATTCCAGAAGAAACAGTTAAAAGATTTCAAAGTGATTGTCTCTCAGTAACAGAAATCTGGCCTGGGAAAGGATGAAGCAAACTTCTAGTGGATTTTTCTTGTTGCTGCTCTAGGCTTTACAGTACTCTGTAACTACGAAAATTACATTTTAAAAAACCAGGTTTTGGAACTAAACATAGAATAGGTCTCCAATTCTATGTAAATAATGTACAGAAAACTTGAGGACTATTATGGACGACGGAATGTGTGTGTCTCCCCAAAATTCATATGTTGAAGTGTTTACCCCCAGTATAGGCTGTGTATGGAGATGGGGCCTCTAAGGAAGTAACTAAGGTTAAATGAGGTCATAAGAGGGGTCCCTGTGGGACGCCTGGGTGGCTCAGTCGGTTAGGCATCTGCCTTCCGCTCGGGTCATGATCCCAGGGTCCTGGGACTGAGCCCCATGTCAGGCTCCCTGCTCAGCGGGGAGCCTCTTCTCCCTCCCCCTCTGCTGCTCCCCCTGCTTGTGCTCTCTCTCTGTCAGATAAATAAGTAAAATCTTAAAAAAAAAAAAAAGAGTGGGTCCCTGATCTGATAGGATTAGTGTCCCTTAAGAAGAAATACCAGAGTGTTCACTCTCTCTCTAGGTGCACACACCAAGGAAAGGCCATGTGAGGTCATAGCAAGAAGGTGGTTATCTACAAGCCAGGAAGAGAGCTGTCACAGAAACCAAATTTACCAGCACCTAATCTTGGAATTCTCAGCCTCCAGAACTGTTAGAAAGTAATTTTCTGTTGTTTAAACCACCCAGTCTGTGGTATTTTGTTCTAGCAGCCCAAGTGGACTAATACAAGGACATTATGCTAAATGAAATAAGCCAGTCACAAAAGGACAAACATTGTATGATTCCACTACATGAGGAAATCAAATGCATAAAGTAGTCAAATTCATAGAGACAGAAAGTAGAATGGTGGTTGCCAGGGGCTGAGGGAGGGGATCGTGGAGAGTTAGTGTTTAATGGGTACAGAATTTCAGTTTGGAAAGATGGAAAGAGTTCTGGAAATGGATGGTGGTGATGGTTACACAATAATGTGAATGTGCTTAATGTCAATGGACCGTACACTTAAAAATGGTGAAGGTAGCAAATGTTTTGTGTACTTTGCCACAATTTTTTAAAAGGGAAGAAAAAAGAATGTATAGAGATACATGTTGTAATATTGATGGGAGGCCATATCTTCCATTTCAGTTCTGCACTCCTTTCTGCCAAAGTCCCACATGTATTGAGCCTTCTCAGCATTCTGTCCTCAGTTTTTCAATCTGTATCCCTTGCTGGGGCTACCTGACTCACTCTCTGGCTTCAGTTATCATCTAAAATACATATTTTTAGTCAGACCTTTATTCTGAGCTCTAGATCCACACTTTTCAAATAAACACTGAACATCTCCTCTTGAAAATCCCATAAGGGGGCGCCTGAGGGGCTCAGTTGGTTAAGCGTCTGCCTTCGGCTCAGGTCCTGATCCCGGAATCCTGGGATGGAGTTGCGCGTGGGGTTCCCTGCTCAGCGGGGAGTCTGCTTCTCCCTCTCCATCTGCCTGCCGCTCTGCCTCCTTGTGCTCTCTATCTCTCTGTCAAATAAATAAACAAAATCTTCAAAAAAAAAAAAAAAAGATTCTCTCAAAAAAAAAAGTTCCATAGGCACCTCAAATTCAGATAGTTTAAAGCAGATTCATTCCCTTTACCTCTCAAATCTACTCCTTTTGAGGAGTTTAAAAAATAAACTGTGCTCTCGCTCTCTCTTTCTCTCTCTCTCTGTCAGATAAATAAGTAAAATCTTACAAAAAAAGAAGAGTGGGTCCCTGATCTGATAGGATTAGTGTCCTTATAAGAAGAAATACCAGAGTGTTCTTTGTACTCTGGTATTTGAAAACTAAAAGGGGAAGAGAAATGTTAATACTCTTGCTGCCTCATCCTCTGCTCCAGATTCACTCTCTCCCCTATACTACACTGCCTTAAGGGCCAATCGGTTTATGTGTTTTCCGGAAATGGGCTTTTTTCCCAAGAAGAACAGCATTTTCATTTTCAAAAAGTGATGTTAAACTCTTCCTCATATGTGCATGACCCGGCAAGGCCACTATACCCAAAACCTTAAACCAACCCCTGAGCCCTGAGTCTGCTACAACATTAGAGTAAGAATCGGGACCTGAATGTCATCCACTGCTATCCTAGCCTCAGCCCTACCCTTAGATCTGGGCATGAGGGGCCCTCTCTAAATCCCATGTTTTGAAGGGTCCTGTATATCACACACACACATACACACACGCATGGGTGCCCGTGTCACACAGGATCTGGTGCTTATTGTTGGCACGGTGCAACTTATAACCCTAAACATCTGCACTCTGACTAGTACTGTTCAGGCTCCAGGAACGTGCTTCTCCACATCTGTCTCCCTCTATCTTCTAAATAAAAGGCAACTGTGTCCAAATGCCATGACCATTTGTGGATTGTGCCACTGCTGACCCAAAAGACAGACATGATTTCAGAAGGCAGGGAAGATTCAAGCAGTGGAAGCACTTATGGAAGAGAAAAAAACAAGCTAACTTGTCAAAGCCTTCTCAGATACATGAATGCAATAGGTTTCTGTTGAACAAACTATCATTCCCCAATAGTGCCCATTTTCTTGCCTGTCTCTTTTCCAGTCTGTGGCTCCAGAGGTAATAAAAAATTAGTGCAGTATTTGCAAAAATTGCACAGAGAGGCTAATGAACATTTCACAATATTAAACAACTCATATTACTCTTGATTTTAGGGTGGATAGATTAGATAGATAGATGATAGATAGATAGATAGATAGATAGATAGATAGATAGATAGATAGATAGATAGATAGATAGATATAACATGCATAAAGCATTGTCACAGATTGGCTGTTACAGGAAGCAGATTCTGAGACAAAGATTAGAGTATAGAAGGTTTATTGGGAAGTGCTCCTGGGATCAACACTTATGGAAGGAAAGGGAAGAAAGTAGCAGGAATGAAAAAAGGGAGAAATCAAATTTTAGCCCACTATCAATGGAATGCCTCAGCATACATTAGAGTGAATTATGAAGACAGAATGAAACTCCAAAACTATCTCAGTTAGGGGCAAGAGGGCCAGGCCTTTATACACAGCATCAATGAGTCATTGGATGTGGGCCACCCTGAGAATGGGATGTGATCTGAAACAAGATAACTCTCAGCTAATGCAATCCCGGAAGAGGGCTGGTAGCCAAGGACTCTCTGATGGCAGCATTCCTAACAACTGAAGTAATAAGGCCTCGATTGCTAAAGGGAGCTCTGGGCAAGGTATTGCAGTGTCCACCACAGTCCACCTTTGTGCCTCCCAGATCCGCTTCACTAAGTTCTGGGATCAGCTCTTCTAGGAGGCTGATGGGCCTCTCTTCCTAGGAGAAACTTAGGACAAACTACCACCCTCAATACTGCAGCTGGTCTCAAAGCAGCAAATAATCACTTCCCCTCCCACTAAGAATTATAGATCCCCATCAGTCTTAAGGTTTTGGTGGTTTGCCTGGTGGGTATGACCCAGACCCTCATTCCTGGTCACCATGGCTTTCTCAGGCCGGAGTTGCTATACTTGCTGATACCCACACACCAAGCCCACCAATCTAAGAACAATGCTTGGGCTTTTCCTTCCTAGTCAGCTTGTCAAGAGATCTCCCAGGGCGCCTGGGTGGCTCAGTCGGTTAAGCATCTGCCTTCGGCTCAGGTCATGATCCTGGAGCCCCACATCAGGCTCCCTGCTCAGCGGGGAGTCTGCTTCTCCCTCTGCCCCTCATCCCACTTGTGTGCTCGCTCTCTCACTCTCTTGCTCTCTCGCTCTCTCAAATGAATAAATAAAATCTTAAAAAAAAGAGATCTCCCAGGGGGCCACAGGTGTATGGTGAATGAATGATGCTAGTGCATCCGCGGAGAATCTGTTATCATGAAGGATCCACTCTTGCTGATTGTGTAGGTGCTTGTGTTCTCCAGTCCTGCTTGTGCTTGATCCTGTGTGTAAAACTTCCTTCTGGTTGCTGGGCCTGCCCGCCCTTATACCCTGGAGGATGTGACAGCATTCAGTTCATGATGGGCAGTTCTAGCTGCATGGTCACTTGATGTCCTATGGCCAGGCATTCCGTCTCTATCCAGATGCAGTAGCATGTGAGGAGCTGTTTTTAAAAGATATATAATTCTCCACCGTATATGGCACAGTTTGCTCCAGAACCTAAATTCTGGACTAAGTTCTGACTTTCTCACTGGGGCTTATCAAAAACTCCATGTGGCATCTTTTGCCAACACAGATATCTCTGATGCCATAGGGTCTGTCTATTGTATGGCGCAAGTGGCAGGACTACTTGAAACCACAGCCTGGACCTGCTATGGGACCTTCTCTTGCTCTAGGTTCCACTCAAAGCTGGCAGGTTTGTTTTTTTTTAAGATTTTATTTATTTATTTGACAGAGAGAGACACAGCGAGAGAGGGAACACAAGCAGGCGGAGTGGGAGAGGGAGAAGCAGACCCCCCGCTGAGCAGGGAGCCCGATGCGGGGCTCGATCCCAGGACCCTGGGATCATGACCTGAGCCGAAGGCGGACGCTTAATGACTGAGCCACCCAGGAGCCTCCACAAAGCTGGCAGTTGTTTGTGTCACCCAGTATATGGGTAGAAACAGTAACTCCAGGTGTGAAATGTGCTGTTTCCAGAGCCCGAAGAAGCCTACCAGGCATTGAGTCTCCTACTTTGTGGGGAAGGATCAGAAGCTGAGCAAGGAATTGTGACTTTTTATGGAGGCACTGTCCTTCAGAAAAATGCAATAATTTGTCCTTTAATTTGGTGGGGATCTCCTGGCATACCCCCTGATCATTAAAACTCTAAAACCTGCACTAGGGTTTATCTCCCATCATGGGGAGTACATGTATCTCACCAAGGCCTCCAACCCGCTAACCACTTCTTACCCATTTTGGTCTGATTAGCATGATGTCATCAACATAGTGGACTAGTATTATATTCAGATGGTCCAGCTATCTCCAGACTATAATATGACAGAGGACAGGAGAGTTGTAGACCTTTGAGGAAAAACTATAAATGTATACTGTTGTCCTATATGAACGTGAACTTTTTCTGATATTTTATTCTGATAGGGATATAAAACTACATGTTCCAAAGCAATAGCTAATTATTCGGTATCTAAGGTCATGTTATTCTGCTTTAGCAAAGATATTACATCTAACACGGTGGCTGCATTTGTATCACTACTTGGTTGAGTTTGCAATGGTCTGTCATGTACCAGGCTCTGCCCACATTGTGCAGGGGCCCAAACTGGTGTATTAAATGTAGATATGATAGGGGCCACATCCCAGCAATCTTTAGGTCTTCAAAGGTGGCACTAACTTCTGCCGTCCTCCCCAAGACGCTATATGTTTTCATTCATTATCTTGGCCAAGGAAGGTGAGGGCAGTCTCAGAAACTTCTGCTTTTCATCTACAAATAGCTCTGACTCCACAAGTCAAGAAACCAATATGGGGTTTGTACCAACTACCGAAACGTCTATTCCAATTATACATTCAGAAACCAAGAATATAGCCATCAGGTAGGCTTGTGGACCCAGTGGAGCCACTCTGAACCCAACACAGGCCAGGAGTCCATTTAATACCAGGCTCCCATCTGCCCTTATTCTAAGAAGGGGGACATGATGACATTTTAGGTCTCTGGGTATATCAACTCATAACCAGTGTCCATTGGGCCTCAAAATGTTTGGGTATTCCTCTTTCCCCTGCATACAGTTACACGCATAAATAGAAGGACTAGACAAATCATTACTACACATATGTTATAGGGTTCTTCTTCCTGGGTACCCCAGCCTCTCCTTCAGCCTCTCCTTCAAACAGTGCGCCCTGGTTCAAAAACTGACTTAGGATCAGAAGCTGAGCAAGGAATTATGACTTTTTATGGAGGCACTGTCCTTCAGATTCCTGACCATCTTTGATTTCTTTTGGTTGTTCACGTTGAGTACAGATTGTTGGCTGCTTATTTTCCCCAGGGCACTGTGTTATATTGACCATATATTATATATTGTTATATATAGTCTACTAACTACCTCTTAACCATCCCCACAGCTCTCTGCAGATCAGGCCCCCCGCCTCTCACCCTTACCCTGCAGTGCATTATGATATTCGCATCCACCCGACTTCTGACGGTTATGTGCAGTCATCCTGCCTCTCTTGTTTCAGGACATCACCGTTCCTATCAGTGATCCTCATCCTCTAACATCCTCTCCTACTCTGAGCCCTGCAGAGGCAAGCCACCACGGAACTTCTTAGCAATGCTGCCATTCCTCTCACCAGTGCATTCCTTATAGCTTGAGCGAACATTGTGCCTTTTGGGTCCTCCTGCAGAACCTAGTCCTCCAGAGGGTTTTCTGGACATACATAATATATTTATTCTATCATTCCCACTTCCCTGAGCCTTTTATCCTTTCTCCCCAATCTGCTATGACAACTTTGGCATTTATACTTCACTTAATTCTTCCCCCCCCCCACCCCCCACACTCTGAGAAGCCATTCTAGTATTGAGTTCACTTGATCTCCTGGGGTCTTTCCCGGGGGGAGGGGTTAAATACTGTAAAAATACAGTATTTTTGAGAACTCTCAAAACAATTAATTTTCCCTTATTCAATTTTATATTCCAGCTCCCCTGATCAAGGCCCTCAGAATTCAGTCCCGTGCTCCCCCCTCAGCACCTGCTAGTACATGCTGGCTAGGTCCTATAGCTTCTTCTCGGGGTAGTCCCTTTCCTTCCTACTTAGGCCCAGCATATCCCCAGTGAAGCTATGCTGTGACTTAACTTTATATATAGGCCCAGTGGCCAAGATGGGAAGTGGGGCAGATTCTGAGGGAAATGCATATTATCTTACAGGAGAAAGGGCTCTGCAGATCAAGCAAGGTGAAGCACTAGCCCTTAATAGGAAGGAGTGGGACCTTTCTGAATGCTCAAGGTGTCCAGGAAAATCTGAAGATACAAGATTTTTAGGGATGTCAATCCAGAAGCCCCCATCCCATGTGCCAGGGTTCCATGCCTTCCTAACCAGGGCTCTGATCTTGGCATAGCAGACTTGTCTTGGTTGGGATTTTAACTTCCTTTGAAGCTTGCTTTCAGTAAGTCCTGGGCCTGGTCCTCAGATTTCTCTACCCTCTACCTGGAAAAGAGGAGGGCCTCTTTATATGCTACAAATGATACCCTCTGGCTTTCACATACAGCACTTAGTTGTTGAATAATTTAAGTTGGCTTCTCATTATTTTTTTTTCTAGAAGTCAACCAAGCATAGAAATAGCTACCCAATTTTCTGGCCTTCCTTATATTTAATATTTCCCACTTATTTCTCAAAATTCTGCTACATAGAACCAGCTAATGCTTTCCCTTCCAGCAGTGCCATCCCAGTTTGCCATCAGTGAAAGCTCTAACACTTCTTCTGTCACCTGTCCCAGGTGCTTATCTACTCCACCTACCATCAGTGACGGGGTCCTCATTGCCAGCTGGGCAGCAGGTGATTCATCTCCAAAATTTCATCACAGTGTATGCTTTCCTGAACTACTCCTCATACCAACTGTTGTAGGTTGGCTTCCTGGAGAGCAGACTCAGAGTTCAGCATGAGGGCTTTTATTAGGGAATGCTCTTGAGATCAAAATCTGTGGAAGGGAAGAGAAGGAAGCAGGATTGGACAGAGGGAGAAGTTAAGTTGTCCCTTTTGGGGCAAGAAGGGCCATGTCAATCAGCCATCAGATGGAAGTACCCCCAGGAAGAGGGTATGACCTTGGGGGAGGTGACTTTCCAGTTAAAGCAGTTCCTGAAAAGGGATGACAGCTGAGGGCTGTCTGTTGGCAGCACTCCTAGCAAGTAAATAATAACCTCTTTATTCCTGAAGGAGGATTAGGGCAGCAGATTGCAGAATCTACCACAAGTATGACATCATTTTTTTCCACTAGAAATTTAGTGGCCATTGAATAATAGAATTGACAACAGTTTTACTTTTAAAACGGTGAATAAGATTTAAATTTTCAAACATTTACATGTACATTTACAGCTTTATTTAAATATTTATTAAAATTTTAATTTATACCTTCCAATATCTAGACATCAATATGTGAGCCTCTATTTATACTTTTGCTCTGGTTCCCTGAAATGCTACTGACCGGTCTGCTTAGCCCAAGCCCATCCATTTCCTCTTGGTAAATTATGCAAAAATTCTTGTTGTGTATTATATAAAAATCAGAAAATACAGATGAGTAAAAAACAGGTAAAATTACCCATTAACCTAACACCTATAGGACTCTATTAATCTCAGAGTATACGCCAAAGCTTATACATGAGATAATTTAAATATATACTTTTTCTTTATAAAAAGTATAGCATGTGCTCTTATAGCCTATTTTCCCCATTTAAGATTGTATGCTGAATTTTTTCCAAGTAAATAAGTGTAGATGCCCATCACCATTTTCAATTGCTGCAAGAGGTTTCATTGCGTAGACACACCCTAATTTTTCAGCCAAGTACCTATTTTGAGACCCTTGGGTCATTCACATGTTTCCACTCTTCAAAACAGTATGAAGATGCACAGCTTTGTACAAGCCAACTACCTGATCATTTTCTATAGATAAATTTCTACAAGTAGAATTACTGGCTCAAAGAGCATGCACATCTTTAAGGCTTCTGAAACATGTATCCAAATGGACTTTGTACCAATGTATGCTCCTACCAGCCCAGTTTGAGTGCGCCCCTTCCACCATACCCTCACCACACTCTAGGGTGGGAGAGAGGTGGGTCTTCTACAGTATTGATGCCAACACCACTCTCAATGGTTCCATAAAGCCCTGCCTTGATCAGCCTTCTAAAAGAAATCTGATAGAAGCAGTAAACGTTGTTCTTTCTTCTATTATACTTTCTTATTATTTCAAAATAATAACCTAATGTATTTACTTACATAGACCCCAGAGTTGGCCCAGAAAGAGAACGTTTTCAAATTAAATGCCACCAGGACCCTAAAATAAAATTGTACCTCTCTGTACGCCCTCAAGATATGTTCTATCACTTCTTTGTTCAAACAGTCTCTCACTTCCTTCTTCCCTTTGCCATTCTCGTGGCCAGTAGTGAAGTCTCACACTTTTATCATCTCGTGCCTGGACCATGACAGTGACTTCCTAACTGGTGTTCCAATCTCCAGTGACCACTCCTGTCCCCACCCCAACTCTGACACATCCTGCACACACATCAGCTACATCCTTTTCCTTTCATTTTCATTCCTCTGGTCACAGAAGGCTTTGGGGTCTCCCAGGGGTGGATGGAGTAACATTCAGACACCTCAGTTTAGCAATCAGGGATCCTGCATGAAAGGGCTCACCCAGACTGATGGATTACATTTCCCATCATTCCCCTCCCACATTTGGAACTCCAGGCAGGCCAGCCTCCTCTCTGAAGCAGGATTCCCACCTCCATGCCTTTCTTCCCACCACTCCTCCCTTCTCCAATGCTCTCCCGCCCCATTTTTATCCTATCCTTCAAGCCCAGCTTACCTAAGTGTCCCCCTCCTCTGTACAGCTTTGCCTGAGCACTGCTGCCTGAAGAAGTTTCTGCACTGATGAGAAGGGTTTGGCCATGATCAGAGGCTTGTGGCTTTGTTAGCGTATTTTTGTTTCCATACATCTTGCCTTTCCAAATAGATCATAAACTCAAAGACAAGGATGTGTCTCTTTTTTTCTGCTTAAAACACACAACTTTATTGATAACATAAAAATAAAGTCTCAAATGTATAAACATAAGTCCACACAAAGGACCAAAAATTACCTTACTTAGGAAGAATCAGGTCGTTTCTGCTCATGAAGCATACTAAAAATATCTCAATCCAGACAAGGTAATAATCAACACATGTATTTTCAGTACATTTGGTGTTCATAAAATGATCCAGCTACAGACCATCACAAGTAACATCAGTTTCAAAGTTGTAATGCAATTTACAATATGCATTACTTCCAGACTACAAAACCAAAATATTACTCAGATTTGTTTGGGAACATACAACTAATCAGAGCTTACTTAATAATAGCTCAACTCTTTCTTTCACCTCAGGGTCACTGTACTCTGCTGCTAAGACTCGGAGTTTCTTGGCACATGCTTTAGGCCGTTGGAATATGAAATAAAGAGAATTTTTACTGAACTTGTCCTGCGTAAATACTTTTGCCCTTCTTTTAAAATGATAATTTATATTTTCAAATAGTGAAAGAGCATTAAGAATATTCTCTTTCGTCTCTTTCTTGCTAAAGATATTAATCAGTGACGTTGGTGCATTGGCAATGAGTAAGTCTTTTGTCATAGATGGATTTTTAGAGAAATTCAAAAGCATTCCCAAAATATGGTCTTTCGTTTCTCCACTTCCCACAGTTAGCAAACGAAGAAATTCTGAAATATAATTTGTAACCATATGCTGATATTCACTAATAATAGTCAAGTGCTTTATCAGTCTTAGTCCAGCCAGCTGTACATTTGAATTCAAGGGATAGGTGACCGTGTCTTCACATACTTGGTTTAAGTATGTTTTCACCTTCCTATGATTTTCAGCAGCCACTGAGATGTTATTCAGTGCATTTAAAGCCTTCTGCCTTACACTGGGATAGGGATTATTGAGCAAACTTTCAATAATTGAGATTCTACCTGCATTTCGAATGACTTCATGGGAAAAGGGATATTCGGGACTGTTATAAAGAGCATTATTGGCTATTTCATGAATAGAAGGATCTTCAGTCATCTCAATCATGCAAATGAGTTTTTCAAGCTCTCGTGGATCCATATTAGCTTCGCGTTTACAGCGACAGGTCCAGGGCTGAGTTTTCTCCTCATCCCTGATCTGCTTTCTTAGCTCATCTTCAGGTGGGAAGCAGGACTTATTTTGGTATGGAAATTTCATTTCCGTCCAGATCATGGCTCCTGCCCATGACCCCATTCCTGCCCCAGGGACCATGGATGGATATGTGCCTCTTGACTCAGCTGACTTTTTGGCTTTAGTCTTAGGTGCAGATTTGTCCTCACTTCTGTTTTCATTACCATCCCAGAACCAAGACTTTTCCTCAACTCCACCAGCAGTTGGTGCCTCAAAGTTATCCTTGGCGCTGGCCTTATCTCCAGCTCCACACTCAAAATTGACATTTTGCTCCCTCTCGGATCTGAACTCATGACTCTTCTCACTGTCAGCCCAAAACAAGGACCTTAAACTGATCTCCTCAATATCAGGGCTGGATGCTCTACTTAGCTCATCCTCATCCACATCCTCAGCCCAAGTCCATGACCCCATGCAAGCCTCTTCCTCAGCCCCAAGCCTAGACCCTGTAGTGGCTGCATCTCCATCCCAGAGCCAAGACTCCTTCCTGACCTCTGCCGCAGCCCCAGCCTCAGCCCCCATACAGGAATCCATACAGGCTGCCTCTTCAGATCTGATCCAGGACCCAATATTGGCCTTATCCTCAGCCCCAAATCTGGAACTAATGATGGCTTCTTCTTTAGCCCTTGATCTGGATTCAATACTGTCCTCATTTTTACCTCCAGGTTTGGATACAATACCAGCCTCTTCCCCTCTCCTGAAGCAGGACCCGGTACTAGTCTCACCCCCAGGCCCAAACCAGGATCTTTCACTGGCCTCCATCTCGGCACTGATCTGGGGTCTTCCACTGGCCTGGTCACCAGCCGTAGCCCAGGGCCCTCTACTTGCCTGGTCCTTGGGCCCCAGCCTAGACCCTCTACTGGCTTCATTACCAGGCCTAGACCCAGCCCAAGATTTTCCACTAGCCTGATCCCCAGTGCCAGGCTGGGAGCCTTCTCTACCTGCTAGGTCCTCAAATCCAGGTTTGGAACCACTATCAGCCTGATCCCCAGCCCCAGCCCAGGACCTTCCACTGGCCTGACTCCCAGTGCCAGTCCAGGACCCACCACTGGACTGGTTTGCAGGCCCTGGATTAGACCCTCCAACAGCCTGGTCCTCAGCACCAGAACAGAACCCTCCTCCATTGGCTTGATCCTCAAATCCAGGTTTGGGACAGCTACTAGCCTGATCTCCAGTCCCAGCCCAAGACCTTCCACTGACCTGACTTCCAGTATCAGCCCAGGACCCACCACTGGATGGGATCGTGGGCCCTAGTCTAGATCCTCCAATAGCCTGGCCACCAGCCCCACCCCAGGACCCACTTGCATTAGCCTGACTCCCACTGTAAGCACAGAACCATCCATTGGACTGATCCTCAGGCCCGGGCCTACATTCTTCACTGGCCTGGTCCCCAGTGCCAGCCCAGGAATCTCCAATGGACTGGTCCCTGGGACCCAGCCTAGACCCTCCACCAGCCTGGCCCCCATTGTCAGCCCAAGACCCTCTTCCACTTGCCTGCTCTTCAGATCTAGGCTTTGTCTCACCACCAGCCTGATCCCCAGGTACAGCCCAGGTCCCTCCATTGGCCTGGTCCGCAGCCCCAACCAAGAACCCTCCACTGGCTTGGTCCCCAGAGTCAGCCCAGGACCTTCCACTGGACTGGTCCTCAGGCCCCAGCCTAGGCCCTCCACCAGCCTGGCCACCAACCCTAGCCAAAGACACTTCTATGTTTGCCAGATCCTCAAATCTAGGCTTGGACTCACCACCAGACTGATCACCAGTTCCAGCCCAGGACCCCCCACTGGCCTGGTCCATAGTCCCAACCAAGAATCCTCCACTGGCCTGATTCCCAGTGCTAGCCCAGGACCCAACACTGGACTGGTCCACAAACCCTGGCCTAGGACCTTTGTTGGCCTGTTCCCCAGCCCTAGCCCAGGACTCACCACCAGACTGGTCCACAGGCCTCAGCCTGGACCCTCCACTGGCTTGGTTGGCTGTGTCAGCCCAGGACATATCTTCACTGGCCTGATCCTCAAATCTAGGCTTGGATCCACCAGACAGGTCACCAGTCCCAACCCAGTACCCTCCACTAGCCTGGTCCATATCCCCAGGCCAGTGCCCAATACTAGCCACATTCCCAGCTCTAGCTTCAGCCCAGGACCCTCCATTAGCCTGAATCCCAGCGCCATCCTGGGACCTTCCACTGTCCTGTTCCTCAGCTCCCATCCAGGACCCTCCAATGGCATCTTCCCCAGCCCAGGACACCCCACTGGCCTGACCTCCAGCCCAGGGCTCCCCAATAGCCTGGTTCCTGGTGCTAGCCCAAGACACCCCACTGGCCTGGTTCTCAGCCCCAATCCAGGATGCTCCAATGGCCATGTCCCTGGCCTCTGACAAAGAACCCCCACTGGCCTGACTCTCAACCCAGAGCCCCCCACAGGCCTGGTCCCCAGCTGTAGCCCAGGATGGAAAACCAACTTCATTCTCACGCTTAGCCCCAGCCCAGGACCTAATATCAGACTTATCACTAGCCCCACTCCAGGACTCAATACTGGCTTCATTCTCATCATCAGCCCAGGACATGGTATTCTCCCAGTATCCATCCCTGGCCTGAAACCTAAATTTGATCCATCGCTCAGAAGCAATCCAATCCTCAATACCAATCCCATTCCAGTAGTAGTCATGGACCCTAGACCGAGTCTTTCTGCAGCCCTGAGTGCCTGTCCCACCCCCACTCTCAACAGTGGGTGTGGCCTCAGCCTTGGGCTTTGCATAGCCCTCATCTGCCTCAGACTTGGGTATAGCCCTGTCCTTTGTCCCAGGCAAGATCTTACTCTGGGAATGGGCTGCAGACTGAGGCTGGCCAGAGCCCATCATATGTGCCCCAGCCTCTACCTTAGACTCAGCATTGGTATTTCCCCTGACCTTACTTCTGGCACCAAGGAGGGCCTTGCCCTGAGAAATCGCCACGGCCTTTGGTGAAAGAGAGCCTATTGTATCTTGCCCAGACCCTGCCTTAAATACCACATCGAGATTGTCCCTGACCTTATTTCTGGCACCAAGCAAGGCTTCACCTTGGGAATTAGACATGGCTTGGGGTTGGGCAGTGCCTGTTATATCTGTTTGAGGCTGAGCTGAACACATTATATCTGGCCCAGTGCCTGCCTTAGATACAGCACTGGGATTGCCCTGGACCTTACTCCTGGCACCAGACAGGGTTTCACCTTGGGAATAAGACACAGCCTGAGGCTGGGCAAAACTTGTTGTATCTGCTCTGGCCTCTACCTTAGACACAGCATTGGGATTGCCTCTGACCTTATTCTTGACACTAGGCAAGGCTTCACCCTGAGAATTGACCACAGCCTGGGGCTGGACAGAACCCACTGTATCTGGCCCAATCCCTGCTTTAGACACAGCACTGAGATTGCCCCGGACCTTATTCTTAGTGCCAGCTAAGACTTCACCCTGGGAATTGGCCACAGCCAGGGGTTGGGCAGAGCCTGTTGTATCTGTTTGAGGCTGGGCAGAGCCCATTGTATCTGCCCCAACCTCTGCCTTTGACACAGCATTGGGATTGCCCCTGACATTCTTAGTACCAGGCAAAACTTCACCCTGGGAAGTGGCCACAGCCTGAGGCCAGGCAGAACCTGTTATATCTGCCCTGGCCTCTGCCTCAGATACAGCACTGGAATTGCCTCTGACCTTACTCTTAGTACCAGACAAGGCTTTACCCTGGGAATTGGTCACAGCTTGGAGCTGGGCAGAGCCTGTTTTATCTGCTCGAGGCTGGGCAGAGCACACTGCATCTGCCCTGGCCTCTATCTTACACACAGCACTGGGATTGCCCCTGGCCTTATTCTTGACACTAGGCAAGGCTTTACCCTGGGAATTGGTCACAGTTTGTGGCTGGGCAGAGCGCACTGTGTCTGGCCCAGTGTCTGCTTTAGACACAGCACTAAGATTACACCGGACCTTACTCCTGGCACCAGGCAAGGCTTCACCCTGGGAATTAGACTCAGCCTGAGGCTGGGCAAAGCCTGTTGTATCTGCTCTGGCCTCTACCTTAGACGCAGCATTGGGATTGCTGCTGACCTTATTTTTCACACCAGGCAAGGCTTCACACTGGGAATTGGCCATAGCCTGGAGCTGGGCAGAGCCCACTGTATCTGGCCCAGTCCCTGCTTTAGATAAAGCACTGGGGTTTCCCTTGACCTTTTTCTTGACACCAGGCAAGGCCTCACCCTGGGAATTAGCCACAGCCTGGAGCTGGGCAGAGCCCACTGTATCTGGCCCAGCCCCTATCTTAGACACAGCATTGGACTTGCCCCCAACCTTATTCTTGATACCAGGCAAGGCTTCACCCTGGGAACTGGCCACAGCCAGGGGCTGGGCAGAGCCTGTTGTGTCCGTTTGAGGCTGGGCAGAGCCCATTGCATCTGCCCTGGCCTCTGCCTCAGACACAGCACTGGGATTGCCCCTGACCTTGTTCTTAGTACCAGACAAGACTTCACCCTGGGAACTGGCCACAGCCTGGGGCTGGGTAGAGCCCACTGTATCTAGCCCAGCCCCTGTCTTAGACATAGCAATGGACTTGCCCCTAACCTTATTCTTGATACTAGGCAAGGTTTCACTTTGGGAATTGGCCACAGCCAGGGCCTGGGCAGAGCCTCTTGTGTCTGTTTGAGGCTGGGCAGAGCCCATTGTGTCTGCTCTGGCCTCTGCCTTAGACACAGCACTGGGATTGCCCCTGATCTTCTTAGTCCCAGGCAAGACTTCACCTTGGGAACTGGCCACGACCCGAGGCTGGACAGAGTTCACTGTATCTGGCCCAACCCCTATCTTAGACACAGCATTGGACTTACCCCTAACCTTATTCTTCATACTAGGCAAGGCTTCACCCTGGGAACTGGCCACAGCCGGGGGCTGGGTGGAGCCTGTTGTGTCCGTTTGAGGCTGGGCAGAGCCCATTGCATCTGCCCTGGCCTCTGCCTCAGACACAGCACTGGGATTGCCCCTGACCTTGTTCTTAGTACCAGACAAGACTTCACCCTGGGAATTGGTCACAACCTGAGGCTGGGCAGAACCTACTATATCTGGCCCAGTCCCTGCTTTAGACAAAGCACTGGGATTGCCCTTACCCTTATTCTTGATACTGGGCAAGGCCTCACTCCGGGAATTGGCCACAGCCATGGGCTGGGCAGCACCTGTTATATCTGTCTGAGGCTGGGCAGAGCCCACTGAATCTGCTCTGGTGTCTGCCTTAGGCACGGCACTGGGATTGGTCCTGACTTTATTCTTGGTACCAGACAAGGCTTCATCCTGGGCATTGGCCGCAGTCTGGAGCTGGGCAGAGCCCACTGTATCTGGCCCAGCCCCTGCCTTAGACAAAGCACTGGACTTGCCTCTGACCTTATTTTTAGTACCAGGCAAGGTTTCACCTTGGGAATTAGACACAGCCTCAGGCTGAGCAGAACCTACTGTACCTGGCCCAGCCCCTGTCTTAGACACAGCATTGGAATTGCCCCTGACCCTGTTCTTAGTACCAGGCAAGGCTTCACCCTGGGAACTGGCCACAGCCTGGGGCTGGGCAGAGCCTGTTGTATCTGTTTCACCCTGGGCAGAACACATAGTATCTGGCCCAATCCCTGCCTTAGACACAACACTGGGATTGCCCCTGACCTTGCTCTTATTACCAGACAAGGCTTCACCCTGGGAATTGGCCACAACCTGGAGCTGGGCAGAGCCCAGTGTATCTGGCCCAGTCCCTGCCTTAGACACAGCACTGGGATTGCCTCTGACCTTATTCTTAGTACCAGGCAAGCCCTCACCCTGGGAACTGGCCTCAGTCTGGGGCTGACCACAGGCCCTCAGTTCCGCCTTAGCCCCTGACCTAGAAATGGCATTAGGATCACCCCTGCCATCAACCCTGGAATCAGGAAAAGCATCAGCTTGGGTCTTGGCCCCAACCTGAGGCTGCGCGCAGGTTTTCATTTCTATCCCGACTCCTGCTTTATGCTTACTTTTGCCTTTTCCCCTAGTCTTACCTCTAGTACCAGGTAAGGTCTCAACCTGGCTCTTGGTGGAAGCCTGAGACTGTGCCTTTGTGTCTGTCCCAGCCCCTTCTTTAGATAACATGTTGGCATTGCCTTTAGCCTTAATCCTGCCATCAGGCAAGGCATCAACCTGGACATTGGCCACAGGCTGAGGCTGCGTATAGAGCTCCATATCTGTCTCAGCCCCCATCTTAGACTTGGCATTGGGATTGTCTCTGGTCTTAACCCTGGCATCAGGCAAGGCCTCAGCCTGGGAATTGGCCCTCAAGTTTGCCCTGGCCCCTGTTTTAGACATTGCACTGGAGTTACCTCTTCCTTTAACCCTGACATCAGGCATAGCCTCAGCCTGAGCACCGACTGCAGCTTGAAGTTGAGCAGCAACCTTCATGTCAGCTCCAGCCACTGCCTTAGATGTGACATCAGCATTTCCCCTGTCATCAACCCCGGCACCAAACATTGTCTCGGCCTGTTTCTTGGCCACAGTCTGAGGTTGTGTAGAAACTCTCATGTCTGCCTCTGCCCCTATCTTACACATGGCATTTGTAATACCCCCAGCATCAACCTTTGCCCCAAGCATAGCCTCAGCCTGGGTCTTGGCTATAATCTGAGGCTGGGCAGGAGCCCTCACGTCTGCCCTAGACTCTGCCCGAGACATGGTTTTGTGATTCCCCTTGACCTCAACCCCAGCACCAGGCATGGTGTTGACCTGGATCTTGGTCACAGCCTGAGATGGTGCACAAGACCTCATGTCCACTCCAACTTCTGCCCTGGACATGGTATTAGGATTTCCCTTAGCATCAACTGTGTTACCAGGCCTGGCCTCAGACTGAGTCTTGGCCACACTCACAATCTCTTCCAGGGCTCTTGCCTTGGTCTCAGCCACAATTCCAGTCTTACTCATAGCACTGATCTTGGTCACTTCCCTGATCACTCCTAAGGCCTCGCTCTGTGTCACCATTATTCTTTTCATCTCTTTTTCAGCCAGTATACGAGCCTCCACTTTGGTCTGGGTCATTACTTCTTTCTTGGTCTCTGCCCTGGCAGCCAGTGCCCAAATTTTAACCTTGGTCTGGGTCACAGCCTCTTTCTTGACTACTCTCCCAGCCTCAGAGTCAGTTTGGGTCACAGCCTCTTTCATAGCCACTTCCCCAGCTTTGACCTGGGCCTCAGTCAGAGTCACCACCTCTGTCGTGCCCACTGTTCTGGCCACTGTTTTGGCCTCAGATTGTATCGCTGCCTCTGCCTCAGCCATTGTCATGGCCTGAGAGTTGGCTTTGGGTCTGGCTTTAGCAGTGGTGGTAATCTCTACTTCAGCCCCAGCCCTACTTCCTGCTTCAGCTTCTGCTCCAGACGTGGCCTGGGGTCTAGTCTCAGTCTCTGTCCCAGCCATGGCTTCACCCGTGGCCAAGGTCTGGTTCTGTACCCCAAGCACAGTCTCCATCTTGACTCTGGACCCATTTTTGGCAAGTGTCCTCACACTCTGCGCTCTTCCCTTGGTTAATCTGTAAAGGTAGTAGCAGGTACCAGCCCAAACCACCAGTCCTGCAGTCACCCAGCCCACTTCCTGAACGCGACCCATGTAATCACCCCTACTGAAGGCACGAACAAGGTACAGGGGGCTCAGTCAGGATGGGGAAAGAGGGTAGTAGGTCTGGGTGTAGGCCTGTGAAGGCGCTGGTCTTCAGCCACTTAAAGGCCACTACAGCTGCCACTGGAGGTGGACCTAGAAGTGGAGGAAGGAAATGGACTAAAATTTCTCTTCTAATTTTGTGCCTCATACAGATAGATACACGAAGGACAGGAAAGTGTAGAAATGATGTGCGTGGTGGGAGAAGAGGATGATGAGCCAAATCTCTCTCCATCCCTTTTATTTTCTCCCCTCCCATTTTCCCCAGTGCCCAACAACTTTCTCCTAAGGTACATCCATACACATTTCCTTACACCAAATGAATAATGGAAAAGATGGTTGGGGGGGGGCTGACTATGAATGGGAGAGACTGAGAAGCCCTCAGACCTTGATTTTTACTGGACCTACTCTTTTCATCACTCCCAAAGGTCCCCACCCTCATACCAACCTGTAATGATCAAGGCAGTTCCCTCCTCTTTCCTTCTCTTGATTGGTGATATACCCTAAAGTAGATCTATTAACTCATGAGATCTGTAGACCTAGAGACAGACAGACGGAGGGACAGATGGGACTGGAGATTTTGTTCTTGATGTGACAGGCATATTATCAAACTACCTTTCTATCTCCCTCAGTTCACCCCACTCTCTGTACCAAAATAAAGGCGAGAGTGTGACAGGGATGGTGGGAAAGGTGGCTGGGAAAGGGAGAGGCTGAGGATACCCCAGACCGGACACTGACCACACAGTATGCACGTTGATCTCCACCAACCCACCCTAGAGGTCTACCCAGGCAGTTCCCGTCCTCTTACCAGGCTATACTGATCAGGGGCAATTTCCTCCTTGTTTCTTTGCTTCCAGTAATCTCAAGCCCTACAGCAGACCTGCAGGCCGATCTATGGACAAGCAAACAAACAGGAGGTAATAGACACCAAGTCCTCACAGAACAGACAAGCGCCCTGATCCCGGATCCCAGTACCTGCCTCAGCAGGGGATGTAGCAACACTGTGGAAATCGGGCAGAGTGTAGGAGAGGCAGAAGTACCCTCCCCTGAGACCCTCTCAAGTCTCAGCCACCTTCTGTGCTCACCCTCTTTTTATCCCCAGGCGCTGCCCACCTTCACACCAACCTTTATGGTTCCAGGCCAGTCTCCCCCTTTCCCTGGCTTCCAACCCTACTGTAGGCCTATGGGAAGACCTAGGAAAAAACAGAGAAAAAGGGGAGGGTAACTGTTGAGGGCTTGTGACATCCCACCATCTAAAACAGGGGTCCCAGTACCTGCCTTACTAGATCTAGAGACACATTCTCTGGCTAGCAGAACCTGGGGCTTCCCCGGCACTGAAATGGGCAGCGTGTAAAAGGGAGGCAGGAGAAATAAAAGGGGAGAGACAGGGGCAAATTATTTTAAAACCACCTGTAGGATTCTAAGGTTTCTCCCAAAAGTCCATCATTTCCTTCACCAAGGTGCTCAGACAGGCGGGGGAATCTGGAAAACTGGAAAACGGAGAGAGAGATGGAGGCCCCCATCCCCTACTCTAGAATCAAACATAGCCTACTGCCATCTACTTCCCCTTAAACCCATCTCTAGGAGTCTCCAGCAGAAGAGACAAGGAGTGAGGGCAGGCTTTTTCTTCTGCAAAATCACTATCCCTCCTGGCAAAGGCTATCTCAAAAAACAAATAATGTTCTTTGATACAACGATTTGTATTTTCTTAATATTATCTGAAGTGCAAATGAAAGCATCCATGGAAAAGTTCGCTGTCTTTACTGGTCTTCAACATACAATTTAAGTTAAAAACCCTAAGCTTAGTAAGTAAACGCAGTTTAGGGAAAGTCCCCTAGGTAGCCCCACCCCACATCCCAACCGGACAGCAGCGCCTAAGTTCCTGTCCTAGAGAATTCCCACAGAACTTCAACTATTCAGAGGCCGGCCCTGCTCACACTAACCTCCACAGATCCTGTGCAGTTTTCTTCTCTCCTTCTTCCCTTGCCTCGCCACAAAAGTGCCACACGGAACTACTGTCCATCAGACAGGAGAGAGTAAAGGCACTGAGTGCTTGGGCCAACACCCAGGACACAGATCCCAGTACTCACCTTTCGGGATTCAGGATCCCGGTTATCAAACGTCCCTCCCCGCATTCCCAGACGCCACCCCTACCAACTCCACCGTCTAGTCACCAAGGCCCACCATTTTCTCTGTAAACGCCACGGTGGCATGTCCCTTCCCCTGAAATGAGCAGGAAGCTGGGCGGACGTGTGCGGCCGGCGATTAGGGTCAGAGAGGATGGGACATCTCAATCTCTGCATTTCCCTCTAGAGCCACTCCCCTCCACCCCCAACCATCCGCTGTCAGAGCCCAAGGTTCCCCAGCACGGACGGAAGCAGGGGGAGGGGACTCGGGAGAATCACAGCGAAGGCTCCTGGAACTTAAGCCCGCTTTGTCCCCCAGCCCCGAACCGGCTACCGGCCTCCGGGGTAGGCCGACAGCTGCCTACCTGGCCTCGGCGCGCGGGCCCGGAGCCCTTACCTGCTCCGCTTTCCTCGGGCCCGATGCCAGCCCGCCAGGCGCAGGACCGCGGGGAGCCGGTACCCAGACGGGAGTGACGACTGCACCGAAGGCTGCGTCGCTCTGCAGCTCCAGGTCACGTGAGGGCCCCGCGTCACCAAGGAGCTCTCTCCCCTCCCACCCCACCCTCCGGCCTGCGGGGAGGTCTACGGGACCCTGCCCCCCACCTCCACCCGCCCCAACTCCCCCTCCGCCGGTCTGTGACCCGAGCCCCCGAGCGCACCGCCTGGTCACTCAGCTATGTCCTCTCCAATCTGAGGGCCGACTAGCGAGTGGCCTCACTTCTTTGCGGTTGGGGTTTGCCCTTCTCTGGTTACTGGGGAGGGTCTGCGTATCACCCTCCCGCAGGCCTTGGCTCTGGCCTTTTCTCTTCTTAGAGGAATCCTCTCTTTCTGTCTTAGGCTCTAAGACTAACACTCCCCATCGGGTGCGTTGCTGCACCAAAATGGGCTAGGGAAGGGGTGTCCGCAAAGGAAGCAGAGAGTGCGCGTAGATGCTTAACTTTCTTTTTTTAATGTTTCCCCCCCCTTTAACATCGCATTCATTGTTTTTGTCATTGGGAAATGCAGGCAAGCCATTTTCACCCGACATTTAAAAATTAGGTCGTAAAAATAGCAAAAGACTCATTTGTTCACATTATTTTGTGCCACATTAGTTGCTATTAACGATTTCAGTTTTCAACACATACTAGTAATTATTGACATTGTATGTACAAAATTTTTCTAAACATAACCAGGCCGTTTTCAATGTGATCTGTAAATTAATCTGCGGAAAGACATTCAGGTTTCTAAAATTGGCAATTTCCCACAAGCGATTTACAACCTTTTCAAGTTCTAGCTGAACTTATTATGATCTTGTGTCAGGTGTCTGAGAACTTCCTCACAGATGACCCCTGGATGATTGAATGAAGACCCAACTCCTGATGAACCCAGTGCCTGAAAACTGGTGACTTCCCAGATTAACCTGCTTTCCATTCAAGGGACTTTATTTGGATTTTACATAAGCGTGTGATCAAATCGGTCTCATCACATGCTGGACAGGACCAACTGCTCTCCCACTGATGGAAATGAGGCTTAGCGGGTGGAATTTTCATTTAATCGTGACACTGGTGAGATATCTCCGGGATCTGTTGTTCATGTACTATATGTCTGTTACCCCAGCAGCCCCTAGTGCTCAGCATCTTCCAGTGGAGACAGTGGTGAGGGTCTGTGGGTGACTGTGAATCACTGCAACACCCCTGAAATCGGTGTCATTTTTCCCTCACGAAGAGCATAGTTTACAGGATGCCAAGCAGTCACCACCAGGAGAAAGAGGCCTTTTCACTCCCTGCCTTCTGTTACAAGTTCACTGCACCACCCATACAAGCCCCTCAGAATAATCCCAGAACTCAGGAACAAAGTATGCAGAAATTAGTTCCCAGATATTCAGCTGTCCCTGCCAGGGAGTCATACTCTAAATATAGACCTTTCAGGCAGCCTCTTTCTTTGAATGCTGAAATCTGACACTCCAGCAGGAAGCTCCCCCTGTGAGGGGCCCCTGTGTGGGGGAGGTCCCTCTAGGAAGGGAGCCAGGGCGCCCAGAGTGCCAAAGAACCTTACTAATGTAATGACTTTCCAGAACTCAATCTCCCATGACCAACTTATATTCTCCATCGAAGGGAAAGATTCAGAAATCGATTACATAAACATTTAAAACTTTAGGAAAGTAAAATACAAAACCCATAAGCATAGGATGACAAGTGACTAATTTGTAATAATCTAAAAACTTACAAATCACTAGTAAAATGATAACTCAATAGAAAAATATGCCAAAGACCTGAATGGATTTGTTCACAGAAGTGAAATACAAATGACTGATAGATATATGAAAAGGTGCTCAACTTCAAAGAAAGGCAAATCCAAACAACTATGTCTTATCTTGTTTCAGCTAGGAGTTTGTCAGAATACAGAAATGTGAGGGATGCCTGGGTGGCTCAGCTGGTTGAGTATCTGACCCTTAGTTTAGACTCAGGTCATGATGTCAGAATGTTTGCTTGAGATTCTCTCCCTCTCCCTCTCCTTCTGCCCCAACCCACGCGCGCGTTCTCTCTCTCTCAAATAAATAATTAAATCTTTAAATATATATATATATATATATAGGGGCGCCTGGGTGGCTCAGTTGGTTAAGCGTCTGCCTTCGGCTCAGGTCATGATCCCAGGATCCTGGGATCGAGCCCCGCATCGGGCTCCCTGCTCTGCGGGAAGCCTGCTTCTCCCTCTCCCACTCCCCCTGCTTGTGTTCCCTCTCTTGCTGTGTCTCTCTCTGTCAAATAAATAAATAAAATCTTTAAAAAAATAAAAATAAAAAATATAGAGAGATAATTTTGATAATATTGTTGATTGGTTTGTGGGGAAATGGGCACTCCCACACTCTGTTAGAAGCAGATACTCTGCTTCTAACAGAAGGAGAAAAGATAAACAAATTGTTGTACATACATACAATAAAATACTACTCAGCAACAAGTAATAAAATACTGATACATGCAAAAACATGAGTAAATCTCAAAAGCGGTATGCTGAATAAAAGAAGTCAGACACAAATGAGTATTATAGGATTCTATTTAAATGAAATATGAGAACAAAAACAATCCTTGGTGATAAAAATCGGCAAGTAGTTGTCTGGGGAATAGAGGAGAATCAACTGGAAAGACGTATAAGGGACCTTTTCTGGAATGATGGAAATGTTCTGTATCTTATTTTGTGTGGTGTTTGCGTGGTTATATGCAATTGTTAAAACTCTTCAAACTGAACATTTAAGATATGTGTGAAATACTGCATGTAAATTATGTTTCAATACATCCCAATTTCCTCCCCAGAAAGAGTCGTTTTATTAGTTTGGGTATAACATACCAAACCTTTTTCTGTGAATTTCATATACGTATATGTACCTATGGAAATATTGTTAGGGGACATCATATTGCACATACGTTTCACAACTTGATAGTTTTCACTCATCAACATATCTTGGAGCTCTTTCCATCTCAGTAACTCTTATATTGTATTCCATAGTGTGACTATAGTAAGGTTTATCTAGCCATTCCTTTACTGATAGACATTTAGCTTTTCTTTAATTTTTAACAATAACAAACAATGTTACAAAAATTATTTTTGAAAATTTTGCCAATCAGAAAACTGAGAAGTGGTATACCAGTGTTGTAGATTACATTTTTTCTATTAAGTGGTGAGATCACACATCTATTCACATGTTTATTGGCCATTTGTAGTCCCACAAATTGCCTGCTCACATCTTTTTCGTATTTTCCTGTTGTATTATCTTTATGTTATTGTTTTTGCAGAAGAGCTGCATTTAGTGTGGATAGCACCTGTTTCTCTGTTTTGTACGTTGTAAATATTTTCTTCCAGTCTGTAGCTTGTTCTGATATTATCTTGTGTTTCCACATACGGAAATTTCTCACTTTTGATGTAATCAAATGCATCTTTCATTTATGGATTTTTTTCTTCCCCCATTGAAGCTTATGAAAAATACTCTCATATATTGTTATGATACTGTTTTAAATTTTAAAAATCAATGTAGAATTTAATAAGTGACAATAGTCTCTGATGTCATTTTTTTCCAAATAGATATCCAGCTTCCCAAAAGTATGTATTGAAGAGTTTATCCTTTCTCCCACTGATATTTTTATTGAAGTATAGTCTACACACGGTGTTACATTAGTTTCAGATGTAAAACATAGTGATTCAACAAGTCTGTGTATTATGCTATGCTCAACACACGTGTAGCTACCATCTGTTGCCACACAGCACTGTTAGAATATCAGTGACTATATTCCCTATGCTGTACCTTTCATCCCTGTGACTTATTCATTCCATAACTGGAAGCCTGTATATTCTACACCCTTCACCCACTTTGCCCATCCCCCCACCCCTCCCACCTGGCAACACATCAGTTTGTTCTCTGTATTTATGGGTCTGTTTTTGCTTTGCCTTTGCTTGTTTATTCATTTGTTTTGTTAATTTAGATTCCACGTATAAATGAAATCATATGGTATTTGTCATCTTCCATTGATCTGAAGTACAACATTTACCATATATTTAATTCCCATATATATTTAGATCTATATGAAAATATGTACGTTAAACACAAAAGTCATCTTATACATACTTTTCTGTACTATGTTTTTCTTCAAATTAATTTATAAATTTAGCACTATGCAATCAAGCTAATTCTTCTTTAAATGACACTCAAAGCAACAGTTTGAACTGGAACAAAATTTCTTATATTTTCTAAAACTATTAGACTGAACAGAACTAAGACTGAGCAGAACCAAGGCAGAGAAGCCTTGGGAGCAATCCGTTTCATTAAAGGAAAAGAACTGGGCATTTACCTACCTCTCTAGCAGGAACCATATTTCAAGTAACAAAATTGCCCTGTCAATGAGGGAAAACACTTCCTTATAGATTAGAAGAATGTTAGCTAATAAGCAGAGAAGAATGATAGAATTCAAAAATTGTCACTGTGTGATCCCCAATGAAATAATTGATTCAGGCAAGGATCATCTATAGATGTTCAAATCATCAGATGGTTGTCATGAGGGGGAAAGTATAACTTTACAAGAGAGGACTTATGTCATCACCAGCTTAACCCAGTTTGTTTGATTGGGTTTTTTCCCTAGCTTCTTGAAGTAGATGCTTTGATGGTTTATTTCTAACCTTTCTTAATTTCACAGGTTTGTTTGTTTGCTTGTTTGTTTCGGTCAGGTTTATTGCAATAAAATTTACACACAGTAAAATTCACTTTTTTATAGGTAAATTTTTGTGAGTTTTGACAAATGTATGCATTCATGTAACTACCACCACAATCAAGATATGGAATATTTTCATCATCCCAAAAAAGTTCCTTTGTACCCTTTATAATCAGTCTTCTATCCCCAACCTCAGCCTCTGGAAACCACTTATCTGATTTCTTTACCTCTAGTTTTGCTTTTTTCAGAATGCCATATAAATGGAATCAGAATTTTAGTGTCTGAGTTCCATTTAACATAGTGCTTTTGAGCTTGTCCATGTTCTTGTTTGTATTAATAA